CAAATTTTATATAGTAAAATTTAAGAAATAATAATTGAAAAAAGTTATTATTAGTAAAAATTTTTTTATAAAAGATAAATAATAAAAATTTTTATATTTTAATAAATCCCAATACCTACTAACTTAATTAAATAAGACAGAATTAAAATTTTATTTTGAAAGAATAATTTATTAATATTTATCTGAGGTACAAATCTTTTTGCACCAATTCATATAAATTATTTGTATTATATAAAATTTAAAAATTCTTTATATTGCACAAAAATCCAATTTTAATTAACATTAAGCTTTAATTTTAAACTTTTCTAAAGTGTTCTATAGCTGAATTTTTTGTTGAATCCAGTTTAATTCCATCTTTACTGATGACATGTCCAAGAAAAATAATATTTACCAAGTTGAAATTTATTCACTTTAAGTATTATTAATAAATTAAAATTAAGAGGAAACCAGCCTAAAGATTAAATTATATTAGAATATAAAGCCCAAACGAATAAATATATACTACATGTAGTTTTCTGTGGTTCAGTTTTTTACAATTAATATACACAATATTTAATAATATATGGATTTCCTAATCATCAAAAGGGCTGTTAAACGGATCCTTTTTTAAATATTCTCCGGTGTGATGCTTGCTTTCCAGCAGTTTTGGAAACTGATAATCACTGTTATTAAGCATATATTCAGATGATGAATCTGGTCTTTTGTCTTCATTAATATTTACGTCCGTGAAAGATGAAGTATTGCTGTTTAAGATCAGTCTTTTTGGCTTTGGCTTTAATGGGGGAGGCAGCCTATTGTGGTCATTGTCATTGTCCTTTTCATTATTCAAGAAATCTTTTGACAATGCTTTGATTGGTTTTGGAGGTAGAGGTGGTCTAATAGTTGATTTCTCTTCGTTTATCTTTGCTTTTGAGATTTTTTGTTGTTCAGAAAGATTATGTTTTGTGGTTGGTTGGATAGATCTGGTGACTGGATATGATTCCAAGTTTAAACCAGTGCTACTTCTATTTTCTGATTGTGGTTGTTCCTCGATAGCAATACGATTACGATTCAAGGATAACATTGAAAATCGAGGGTTGGGTGAATTCGTTTTTTGTTGCATATTTGACAGGTTTATGCTATCATTTTCTCTTGATTGGTGATTATTAATATCATTATCGAAAGAATTTTTATCATTGTTTCTTTTCTCACGTATTATAAACCATAAAACACGAATCAAGCCCATGAATACGACAATTCCCCAGGCGGCTATCAATATCCAAAAAAGTGGAAGTTCGGCACGTAGAGTCGTTTCATATTTGTCAAATAATTTACCAATTTCTCCACCGTTAGAATTATCGTCTTCTGGTCCAATTAATTTATCGGTCGCTTGATTAACAACTTCTTGCATCCTAGTAGGACTAACCATCAAGATTGTGTCATTCACTCGTGGTAATCCAATAAATGCGTTATCTTTAATGAAAGTCAAAGCATTTTGAATTCCACGAATTTTAACAAAAATCAAGCAATTGACTAATTGTTGTGCGACTGTCAACAATACGGGAGCTCCGTTGAAAGTGTTTGTGATAAAAGATGTCAAGTCATCAACTGCAGTATTAAGCGTGGAATTCAAAGTAGTCGTAGTGGTATTCACCCAACCCAATAAATTTCGATTAATATCATTTTCTACACCAGAAATCGCATTATTACTACCACTCGCAAAAGCTTTTGAGGTCGTATTAAGTTCAGAATTCATTAAGTTCATCACAGCATTACCGAATGTATTAAAGGTTTCCTCAAGCGGTTTCCGATAATGATTTCGCACGCCGTCGAGTAATGCAATTTGAAGATAGATGCCTAAGACGCCAATTATCCCAATCAATAGACATACAATTGCCGTCCGTTGTAGTATGTAATCCCAGAACCAACGATACAAATGTTGATGATTTTTATTTTTAAAGAGTCTCGAAGTTTTAATAAGCCAACGAGATAATAACGGATGTTCGGCGATCTTTATCAATTCGATAGTGGAATGACGAGTGTGAGTAATGGTAATTAGACTAATAGTAGTCGTCACGCGGTCTACATGAATCATAAATCGACGATGCGAAAACCAAATATAAACTGCATTAGCGGCGATCAGAAGCAAGCCAATTATCAACAAAATGATTAATCCAATATATGCTGCCTTGATAAGATCATGAGCTATATTATCGATGATGGTGAGATCGAGATTATTCGCGCAAAAAGTGACTTTATTGGGTTGTGGGACAGGCAACACAGAGTCATTGAAGTTTATATTAGACATGGAATTTTTTATCACCGTTCGAAGATCATTGAAAGGAAGTGATACCAAATCATTAAGTTTCTGCTCAATATCATCCATAGTTGGAAGACTAGTATTAAGTTTATCTAATCCTTGTCCGAGATCTGATGGAAAAGCGAAATTCGACAAATCATTTTCAGCCGGAATTGAAATTGTTGGCACGTTAACATTAATATTTGCCAAGGACCCAACACCCTGAATAGCTTTTCGCACATTATCAAGAGCAGAATTCGCCGACGAAACTTGTTGATCAAGTTCACTTTTCAAATCATGCAATTTTCCATTAGTGAATTGTGCCAATATATTGACCGCATCAGTAACTGCCGCGATAGAGCCACGAATAGCGAATACCAATAAACATCGATAAGTATCGCGAAAGGTATCGATTATCCATATAATTATACCCTCTAACGCTAAGATGGCAAGGTCCAATATTCGTGCGGCACCCTGTATTGTTAAATTAACACCTTCAACGGTTGCTCGATTAAATCCACCGGCCATATAGTGTGGTAAAGAAGTCATCGTAGATGTTGCAACTTCTAACGCATCACATGTCCTCAATGCAGTTTGTTTAATATCATCTACAAGTGGATTAATAGAACTCATCGCTGATAAAAGACGGAAAGCGATAAAAAATAAAGAAATAATTGGATATGCAATCCATGCAGTAGATAGTTTTGCACGTAAGCCAATATAAGGTTTCACGATAATGTCGTCATAAGATGTTGAATATTCCTCCGAGTTCATTCTATCTTGACCTTTATATAATAAACCAACCCATATTTTAACATAAAAAAACGAAGAAAATATATGTAAATCACTATACATCCAAAAAAGATCCGCGATATACCTGTTGAAAATTCGGTTTGTGCTTTTTCATCGTTATCAGTTTTTGAATTTAACGAACGCATATTAAATTTTCTTATTGGAAATGGAGTTCGAGACGCGCCAGGCGACGAATTTACACAAAAGAATGGCAAAGAAAGTTTGGAGGTTTTTAAGTTATTTTAATCGATTCTTTCCCCTTAGAAAAGTAAAGGGAAAGTGGATAGGAAGGGAAAGTGGATAAGAAGGGAGAGCTAATAATAGAATAAAGGAAGAAGCATGAAAAAGCATTATATAGGTAATAACGAAACAACGACAACAATACCTTCATAGCTACAAATAGTATATTTTGCTGCATATGGCCGTCTTAAACAATAAAAAAAAATCCAATCAGCTGATATCTGTTTTAACAATGGATTTTCTAAACCCGAGAAAGTGATATGAAAATCTCGTATTATCTTTGAAACAGCTATTTATAAGTGTAACAATATCGATATTGAATTTTTTTAGTATGATCTCGAAATTTTAGTTCTTTTCGACACGACGAATATTTCTTTTCTCGTTCTTACTTCACCATATTAGTCTCGGTTTTTTAGCATAACGGTGATGCTGCTCAAAATAGCAACGGTTAGGGATTCGTCATTTGTGAGTGTATTTAAACTTTTTTGCAAACCAGCTCATAGTTTAATCAATTAACCATTTTGATATTTGCTTCAAGTTACTCGCTCAAAAAACTATTATAAAACCGATTTCTGCTCCCGCAATTATAAATACAACGCGCCGACTTTATAGCAGCGTTGCAAATGGTATCATATTAAACGAGATTTCTTGTTAGTTTTATGTTGTATTAGTTAACGGCAGTGCCCACCGTACCATATAATAGACGTAGAGTATGATACAGTCGTGATTGGAGGTGGGCCAGGAGGTTATGTTGCTGCTATTAAAGCTGCTCAACTTGGGCTCAAGGTTAGTTTAGGTTGGAGTTGATGCTTCTCATTAAATCTTTTGACCTTCGCTCGATATTTATTGATCCAATAGACGGCTTGCATAGAAAAACGAGGCTCATTAGGCGGGACATGTTTAAATGTTGGATGTATTCCGTCTAAATCGTTATTAAATAATTCACATATATATCATCAAGCAAAACATGAATTTAAAGCAAGAGGAATCGATGGTAAATATTACCTAAACAATTTTCAAGACAATTAAGACACTTAGTTTTTGAAATTGCTGATATTGAATCTTGATTTCTACGTACATTTTTAAAAGTGAGTGATGTACAATTGAACTTACCGAAAATGATGCAGGCTAAAGACAAAGCAGTGACTGGGCTTACAAAGGGTATTGAAATGTTATTTAAACAAAATAAGGTGGAATATCTCAAGGGTCATGGTCGGTTTATCGGACCGCATGATATTGAGGTGGATGGGTTGGATGGGAATAAAAGTTATGTGAAAGGAAAAAATATAATAATTGCTACAGGATCAGAACCTACACCGTTTAAAGGATTGGAGGTATCATTAAATTAGTTTTAATTTTATTCTAATAAAATCAAATTATTTGGGATTGATTTTTTTGTTCCTGAAAATTGATTTAGGTAGATGAAAAACAAATTGTCACGTCAACTGGCGCACTCTCTCTAGAAAAAGTGCCAAATAAATTGTTGGTCATTGGTGGAGGTATTATTGGTCTTGAGCTTGGTTCAGTGTGGCAACGTCTTGGAGCTGATGTGACTGTAGTTGAATATCTTGGAGCTATTGGTGCTGGTATGGATGGTGAATTAGCGTATGTTAATTTATTCTAATATATCAAATTAATTAATTAATATTTATTTCATTTAATTAATTATTGAATGATTTTTTGTTCATTTGATTTTCTCTATGATTGTTATTATTACGAAATTTAATATTAATCTTTTTGTTAGAAAGCAGTTTTCCAAAATATTACAAAAGCAAGGGCTCAAATTTAAATTGAACACCAAAGTTTTGGATGCTCAAAAACAAGATGGTAAAATTATAGTGAATGTTGAACCAGCACAAGGAGGCAATAAAGAATCGGTATTTGTTATTTCTTTACATTTTAATTAACGGGATTTTAAATTATTAACAATATTTTAAATTAATGTCAAAAGCTGGAGGCGGACGTTGTTCTTGTGTCAATTGGTCGACGTCCTGTCACAGAAGGTCTTGGCCTCGAAAATGTTGGCATTGATGTCGATGAACGAAATCGTATAAAAATCGACTCACAATTCTGTACTAACGTCCCGCATATTCGTTGTATTGGTGATGTTACATATGGTGCAATGTTAGCACATAAGGCCGAAGAAGAAGGAATTGCCGCAGCCGAATATATTGCCGGCGGTCACGGAGAAGTTAATTATGATGCAATACCTTCCGTGATATACACACATCCTGAAGTAGCATGGTGCGGCAAGACAGAAGAAGAGGTGAAGGCATCGGGTACTAAGTATCGAATTGGCACATTTCCATTTCAGGCTAATTCACGTGCGCGTACCAATAACGATGCAGAAGGGTTGGTTAAAATGATTTCTGATGCCGAGACGGATCGCCTTTTAGGCGTGCATATTATTGGACCAAATGCTGGTGAAATGATCGCTGAGGCCGTGTTGGCTCTCGAGTATGGAGCCAGCAGTGAAGATATTGCAAGGACTTGTCATGCTCATCCGGTTTGTTTTTGAATTTTCTTTATTTTGATACTTTTAATAATTAGACTTGCGTTAAATTGTATACCCCTTTTTTATTTTCCCAAATAGACATTGGCTGAAGCTTTTAAAGAAGCTGGTACGTGAGTGTTTAAAGTTATTATTGTCTTATCATACTTTACTAATTTGAGCACTCTAAAAATGTCTTCGTTAGCAATGGCAACATATGGGAAACCGATTCACTTCTAGATAATGTCATTTTCGGTTTACTTATTTATTCACAGGTTTCTGAATTCGATACTATATCCGAAAAATAGATTTTATATCCAAGTATCAGCAAATAAGTATAAGGACACTTGGCTTGATAATCACCAAAAATAATAACCTTATATTATAAAAACTCAATTTTTTATTAATACAGTGATCTTTTGTGTAATACTTGTTCATGCTGAATTACATAATAAAATTTTGTGACATCTTGAACACAAATAGTTTTCTTATAAATTTGAAAGATCATATATTTATCAGGTTCTAACTAATTTTAAGATATTATATAAAATATTTAATATGTTGAATTTAAATAGTAATTGAAAATATAATAAAATCTTATTTTAAGAAAATAACTTATATAATAATAAAAATTTATTAATAAAGTTTTATATTTTATAAATAAAAAAAATGATTTATATAGTTTAATAAATACTTTTTATTATTTTAAAATTTTTAAAATATCTTTTTATAATATTAAATATATTATAAAATTTATATCTAATAATAAATATATTTTATATAATATAATATTATAATAATAATATAATATTTCTTAATTTTATATTATTATATTATATTTATTTTTATAATTTTACAAATAATTTTTAATTTTAAATAATTATTTTTATTATATAATTAATTTATTTTTAAATTTTTTATTTATTTTATTTAGTAATAAGATATTAAATAAAATCTTTTTCTATAATTTTTATTTAATAATAAATTATTTTTTAATATTATTCTAAAAATAAGTTAGAAATATATAATATTAAAATTTTTAATAATTATATTTAAATAAATAATTATATGATATAGAAAGTTTAAAGATCTTATATTATTTAAATTATTAAAATTTTATATTTAAATATAAAAACTTAAAAAAATATATTACTTAATTAGTTTTATAATTTACTATAAAAATCAGATATTTTATTTTTAATTATATTTATAATCTTCTAGTTATGTAATATAATATATTAGAAAAATTTACACAAAAAATTCAAGATATAATGAAATATTTGAAATAATATACATTAAAAATAATATTATAACTTAATCATAATTCTTTAATTGATTATTACAATTAATTATAATTCTCTAATTGACTATTGCAAATCATAATTAATTAAAATGATATCTTTAGTATTTATACAAAAAATTAATTCAAAATAAATAAGATTATTATATTAAACTTAAACTTTATTATATTAATTATTATTAAAATTATAAAATAAATTATGATTATATAAATTAATAATAATAATAAAAAATTAATAATATATAATACTTATATAATAATATTTTTAGAAGATATTTATTAATAAATAAATAAGAAAAATAAATAATTATAAATGAGAATATAAAATAAATAATATGATAGCTATATTAATAAAATAAGAAAGAAAAAAAATTTTACTAAAAAATTTTTTATGACTAAAATAATTCAATTATATTATATAAATTTCTTGATAAAAATAAGATATAGTAATTATATATGATATAATATATAACATAGTAATAATTTGCAAAATAAAATATAATTTATTATAATATTTAATAAATATTTATTTAAATTATATAAAATTTTAAATATATATACTTAATAAATAAGTTTACTTAAAAGTATTATATTAGGAAATTTTTTGGGATGATTTGTATCGATTTTTATCATTAGTTATATATTGATATATATCGGAGTCATTGATACATATCGAAATAGATATTTAATATATATTGATATATATCGGAGTTATTAATGTATATTATTTAATAAAGTATATCATTAAATATTATTGTTTAATGAAGTATATCATTAAATATCATTATTTAACGAAGTATATCATTAAATAACATTATTTTATGATATATATTGTTAAATATCATTGTTTTACGATGTATATTATTAAATATTATTATTTTATGATATATATCATTAAATATCATTGTTTTACAATATATATTATTAAATATTATTATTTAATGGACTAGATTATTAAATATCATTGTTTAATGATATAGATCATTAAATATCATTGTTTAATGGTGTAAATTTGTTAAATATCATTATTTAATAGTGTAGATCATTAAATATCATTGTTTGATGGTGTAGATCATTAAATA